TTGCACCTTTGGTGGCACAGTGAGTGAGGGTCTGCCCCGGGGGGGACAGCTGCAGTCCCAGCATGCCCTGCTCTAGTACCCCACTGGGGTGGGCGGGCGGGGGCTCTCACTAGCTCCCGGAGGAGTGCAGGGAGGTTTGCTTGGCGTCAGGCTCGTGCAGAATCTGGCCTGTTCTCCGACACAGACAGAGCCTGGGACTTGGGTGGTTTTGTCGAGAACCAGCCTGGTAAAGGAACACGTTGGCAACGCAAAGGCCTGGTGGTGAATCCTCAGGAGGGAGGCGAAAGGGTAAAAGTGGGCAGGCTCTCACTAGCTCCCGGAGGAGTGCAGGGAGGTTTGCTTGGCGTCAGGCTCGTGCAGAATCTGGCCTGTTCTCCGACACAGACAGAGCCTGGGACTTGGGTGGTTTTGTCGAGAACCAGCCTGGTAAAGGAACACGTTGGCAACGCAAAGGCCTGGTGGTGAATCCTCAGGAGGGAGGCGAAAGGGTAAAAGTGGGCAGATTTCATTGTCATAATTTCTATGCGCCGTTGCTCACGTGGTTCACCCCCTCACTCCACTTCCTAAAACGTTTTGTCTTGCTGTTGCCCCTTGCAGTCTGATGTTCTGCTTCGCTTGCCTCTTGGTGGGTCAAGGGATGGGCTGTTTAGTCACGAGGTCCGTGGAGTCGAGGCATTTCCCAACCCCTCATCCTCCAGCCATTTCTCCCAGTGAGCCCCGGGGCTGGATGGGAGTTCTCTGCTCCCCTGTTCTTCCTGCTACTGTGGGAAAGGGGTGGTGGTGATGGTGGTGGGGTTGTTAAGTGACTCTCCTCTTCCCTCCCCCAGCAGCCCCATCTTCAGTGGGCCTATGAGGTGCCCAACAACTCAGTTTCTATTTCCATTGGTGATGGGAGAGTCAGTGGAATGCAGAGCGTTTTGCTCCTCAGGTTTGGATCCGGAGACTGCAGCTTTCTCCTCAACTGCTTGTGGCCCGTCCACGCCAGTTACACGAGACACGCTGTCCACCGCCCGTTCAGATCTTCGCTCCTTCTCCTGCCAAACTTCCCATCACAGCCCCGAGCGCTACGGATTCCCATGTCTCACGGGGCGACGCCCCCTTGCTGTGAGAACTTCCTGAGATCCCTGCGCGATGTGCCAAGCCGCGACACACTCAATCTGGCTGAGGAGGGTAGTCGATAGAAATCTGCGGGCCAAAAAAAGGCCACTGCGCTGTTGAACCAGGTGGGACACCCAGGAGCGGCCCTAGACTAGCTGCCAGCAACTGGCACCCTAGGCGAACCATGCAATCGGCGCCCCCACCTCCAAACCCCTCCGTGATATTGCGCCACCATTTGGCGCCCTAGGCGACCGCCTCGTTCGCCTGTATGGACGGGCCGCCCCTGCGCGTGAGACGTCGTCAGGCTGTTTTGTTTCCCCTTGCAGGCCAGCCGAGCAATGGGCGCCGTGGGGTTTGTAACCGCTGCCGCCGGCGCCGTCTCCCTGCTGGGCTTTTTCCAGAACCGATCCAGGGACCGGCAGTATTGACCAGCTCCCAAGAGAGCGCCCAGCGGGCAGGGGCTGGATCCCAGCGGGGGACGGACCAGCTCAGCCCGCGGCTAACGCCACCACAGACACTTGCTGCTAAGGGCGGCTGGCTGGAGCGAGCGTCATAGCGACTGGTACCCAGTGACAGATGATTTTCCTGCTCGCCTCACTGGACTCTTGGCAGTTTCTCCTGCTGTGCTGGCGCCTGGGCCCGGGGCCTTCGTGCACGCCGGCTGCTGACGGGTCTCAGACTCCGCGGCTGGGTGTCTCAGTCAATCATTCATATTTTTTTACCTGCTTGGAGAAATGTTTGTGTGTGCTTTTAAGAAGAATGTGAATGAAACTAAACTGTTCGGAGGGGCCTTTTCCCCACCCAGGACCCGTGGCTTTTACAAGAGCCCGTCCCGGCTGCTGAGCGTTGCGGTGTGCTGTGGGGAGGTGCTGGGCGCGAGGGGGTATGCCAGGTACGTGAGGCACTCCCTGCCGCTCTCCACGTCGCGGGAGACGGGCGCAAGAGCAGGCCCTTCTCTTGGCAAGGGAGGGAGGGGTCTCCCTGGATTGCCATACGGGCCTTTTCTCTTGGATGTGATGCTCTTTGGCTTGCTACACCAGACCTTTCTCCCAGCGTGCTGTTCCCCTGTGCCCGTCGGGTTCACTCTCTCTGCCCGCCACGGGGAGGCAGAGCCTAGACCACGACCGCTCCATTTTCTGGCTACTCTGTGCCCCTGCCCAGCACCTGCAGTTTTGCTGGACTGCCCTGATGCAGAGGTAACTGCCTGCACCTACCAATGTGACTTCTTCGTGACCCCCGGGCCTTGGACCTACACTGAGCCAGCCTGGAAACACGCCCGTCCTGTTGTTTCAGTGTTTGTGGGCCTGAGTCTGGCAGTCGGGCGTGTCCTTAGCACATCGTCCCGTGTTTCCCGCTTCTGAAACTGATCTGGGTTTTAAACACAGCAGCAAACGCACAAGCACCTCCTCCGTATTATAACAAATCTGAGCGTAAATCGGCCAGACACTGAGCTCGGGCTGGGGTTTAAGTTCAGCTCTTGGGGAACCAACGCGCCGGCAGTGCCGTGGGGAATACGCTGCACTTCAGATTCTGGTAGCGTAGCCGTCCAGTCCATAGGACGAACTGGGGGGCCGCCCCAGCCCCTGCGCCTTTGGGGGGCCCCACGGCGCCATCCCATCCTTCCTATGGACGAGAGGGAGCGGGGGATTACAGAGCCCTGGCACAGCGGCAGCACACGTTGCCTTCCCCACTTGCCATGGGGCGGCAGGAGCTGGAGCAACCTGGCATCCTGCTCTGCTCTGCCCTGCCCCTCTGCCCTTCCTGGCCTGCAGCACCCCTCTCCACAGCAGTGGGGAACAGAGCGCCCCGCCCCAGGGCGAAGCAAGGGGCAGTGGGCCAGGAGGGCGGCGCAGCCTGGCAGAACAGGCTGCTGGGCTGCTCTGGCTCCCCCCCCCGGCGGAGCCAGGCCTTGGGCCAGGGAGGGAGCACGGGGATGGGGCAGGACTTGGAGGAGGGTGCAGAAGGGCAGGGCGGGAGGTTGCCCCAGGCCCCAGGCTGGCAGCACTGGAGGGAGGGGCTGCCCCAGGCCCCTCTCCGAACAGCCCTGCCTGCCGGTCCCATGGGCGTGGCGCCTGGGGTTCAGTAACAGCTGGGGGACCTC